CTCTTCCCCAGAGTGGGGAGTCACTCCGAGACGGGCTGAGTCCCTCCGGTTCTGCCTTCTCCCGCTGGCTGGCCTTGGCCCACAGTGCATAGGAATTTCCTTCCACGTCTGCCCCCACTCAGTCAGGGCTCTTTCTGGGGCAAGCATGGGGGCCTGTCTCCCTGTCCCCACCATTGGGGTATGGCCATACAATGGGTGGCTTGTCTCCAGGCCTGGCCTCGGAGGGGCATGTTAAGCCCAACTGTGACCTGGGATCTCAGCCACATTATCCACTCTGCGCTCTCAGCAAACTCTGAAGTCTGTCTCCTAACGGGTTCAGAACTCAGCGTATGGGGAAGGGATGTGGTTAATCACCACCCCTTGAGCACAAACAGTGGGGTACACCTGCAGGCTAGGGGACCCCTGAGTCACAGATGTCACCAATGCTCAGTGCTCAATTCGGGAAGGAGGTGGTCTCAGCCAGCTGGGCTTACTCAGAAATAAGCAGGCTGTGGTCGGCTAGGCAGAGTCTCCCTGTTCAGCCTGACCTTCCCTTCAAAACCAAACTCTGTGGAGAATCATTTAAATTTTCTTCCTGTTTCAGCCGGCGGTGAAGCAGGCCCCTGCCAGACCTGGGTGGTTCCAGCTCTGCCAGCCGAGCGCTTTGGTTTTCTCCGCAGCTTCTCTACAGCCCACTAATGAGACCCTGTTAGTGGTTATGAATGTAAATGCATTCTTTGTTATCCCTGCAAGATCAGGATTAGTGAAATGACAGAATTTATTGCTTCCGTTAGGGAGATATGATATTGGTTGTTGTTGTGTCTTTAATTTTGTAGGAAGAGCGAAAGTATAGAGGTACATTGTCTAAATAAACAAAAAGCTGTGGAAGAAAAAATTTAGCATGAAACATTGAAGATCGAAGTGATCCGGGTCTCGCTAACTTTATAGAAAATTGGGAATTGTGCCGTCAGCCTCCTTTGCATCCCCCAAATACAAGAAACAAACACAAAAACGACTCTGTGCTTGGACCACCTTTGAAAGGACTCTCGGGTTTGCTTTTAGTGGTGGATGAATTAAGCCGGCTCTGTACAAAGTTGATGTGCTTTGATTCAAGCAAATTCATTTCTGTCTCTCGAAGAGGAAGTAACAATAGGCCCCATTTACTCAAAAGATACAGTTTGAATAAGTCAGTAAAATGGTGCCCATATCTGATGGTTAATTAAGGATCTGTAAATGCCCAACTCCCTATAAGACGAGGAAGATAAGACTGTGCTGTCAAATGGTAGGAGAGAGGAGGTGAGGAAACCAGAAGGCCGAGTGCTCCATGACCTCAGAAAAAAACAACATCCTCATATGACCTTCTCAGTGACCGTGACATCCCACGATGCCTGAGAACTAAAGGGCTGTGAGGAGTCACTGTTCTCTTTCCGAACAATTGCCAAAACTACCAAATTATAACATGACTTGAAACATAGAGATAAAACAAAGAAAAATTAATGGGAAAAACGTAAACAACCGTAATATGCAAAGAGCACTGACAAACCAATTAGGACCAAAAAATAGCTTAATTGGAAAATGGACAAAGGGAAAAACAGTCAACAGACCAAGGCTATAGCGAGGTAGTTCACAAAGATAAAATACACATGACCAATTATCTTATGAAAATATGTTCAACTTTACCAACGTCACCGACAATCAGAAGACCACAATTAAAAATAAGCACATCTTTTGTCACCTAACAAAGTGGCAAAGATTCAAATGGCTGGCCATGGTAGGCAGAGTAAAACCTCCCAAAAAGATGTTCACATCCTAATCACTGGCACCTGTGAATATGTTCCCTGATATGGCAAAAAAGGGCTCTGCAAATGGGATTAAATTAAGCATCTGGAGATGAGGAGATGATCCTGGACTGTTCTGGGTCATCCCAAGGGTCCAAGGAGGTAAGAGGGTCAGAGTCAGAGAGCGAGGTGTGATAGCAGAAGCAGAGGTCAGAGAGAGAGATTGGAAAATGCTACTCTGCAGGCTTTGAAGACAGAGGAAGGGGCCATGAGCCGAGGCATGGAGATGGCCCCCAGAAGCTGGAAAAGGCAGGAAAGTAAATCCTCCCAAGTGACCCAGGAAGGAGCACAGCCCTGCTAATACCTGGATTTCAGAAATTCCGACCTACAGAACTGCAAGATAAATCTGTGCTGTTCTAAACCACGTTTGTTACGAAGCAACAGAAGTCAAATACACTGGCAATACCCAGAGGTGGCAGAGACAGGCAGGGAATGAGCATGTGCACACTGCTGGTGGGAGCGTACGGCAGTACAGCCTCACCACTGCCACTGTCCATGGACATCGCCACAGACTCAGGCCTCAGTGTATCCTAATAAGATCACCAGGGATGTTTCTCCATACAAGAGTGTGCATTTTAGTATTACTGAAGGACTGCAAATCTGGAAACCACCTACATCTTTATTTTTGTCATTTTATATTTTGAAAAAAATTCAAATGGACAAGGAAACTGCAAGATGAGTCAACGAATTTCTGCAGACCGTTCCCTGGGATTGGCCGATTGGCACGGCCTCAGCTGCTCGGCCACTGTCTCTGTTTCTGAACCACTATGCTTGTTAGTGGGGAATTAATTTACCTTCCAGACATACTATGGAATACTACCAGTAACTACTTGAAACTATATAAATTAGGTTAATTTGGTATCACATTCACTTATTTTTTAAACAAATCTTTAGGGTGCTAATCCCCACCTCAGTAAATGGGAATTTGGAGAGAACTGGAGAGAAATTATGCTTGAGGATACAACAGGTACTCCACCACTGCTGCTGCTTGCTACTGTGACCTTTTTTTTTTTTTTTTTTTTTTTTTTTGAGACTGAGTCTCACTCTGTCACCCAGGCTAGAGTGTAGTGGTGCAATCCTGGCTCACGGCAACCTCTGCCTCCTGGGTTCAAGCGATTCTCCTGCTTCAACCTCCTGAGTAGCTAGGACTACAGGCACCCACCACCACACCTGGCTAATTTTTTTTTTTTTTTTTTTTTTTTTGTATTTTTAGTAGAGATGGGGTTTCACCATGTTGGCCAGGCTGGTCTCGAACTCTTGAGCTGAAAACATCCACCTGCCTCGGCCTCCCAAAGTGCTGGGATGACAGGGGTGAGTCACCGCACCCGCTGGGATGACAGGGGTGAGCCACCGCACCTGCTGGGATGATGGACAAGCCACTGCGCCCGGCCGCTAGGTGGATTTGAAGAGCAGCAGCTGCCCTGTGGCCTCCCAGGCCCTATGCACATGGATGAGGGCTGCTTCCCAGGACAACCCTGCAGGAAGGTACCTCTATCTCCATCCTGTCACCCAGAAGCCTGGGGCTTCGAGAAGGGCAAGGTGGTTTATTGGTGCCACATGGCTGGTGGACGCAGCGCTGGAATCTGAATCAGACTGGGAAGCATGAGAGCTCGTGCTGGTTTTCACCCTCCCTGGTGCCTCCTACCTCCACCTCATTCTGTGGACCACTGCAGACGCCCAGGACTGGACCCGCTCACTGCCCTGCGCCTGCACAGATCACCTCATTCTGTGGCCACCCCAGACACCCAGGACCAGACCTGCTCACTGCCCTGCACCTACACAGATCATTGCATCTGATGGCTCCTACGCCACACACTGGAACTCCGCCCTGCGGACTAGGACATCTTAAGGAGGGACTTGGGAGGGCCGGCCAGCACATCTCCCGGGGAGGCCCATTCAGCGGATGGCTGAGAGGACAGAGCCTGTTTTCATGTGCTTCCTCATCAATCTGCTCCATCTAGAAAGTGGTAGGAGAAAGCCACAAGCTTCCACCAGAAGGGTTCCTAGCCAATGCCTGCACTGCTCACTATAATGGCAGCTGCTTCTGGAATTCACTTTCTTCACAATAAGCACGTGTGCACGTCAGACTTGACAAGTGGGTGTGCACTGATTGCTGGGAGGAGCCGCAGCATGTGCAGGGGAGGAAGGTGTGGGTGAGTGAGTGGGAAATTCACTGCCCCAGGGAAGAGACAGACGGAAGATCCAGAGAAGCCCAGCCACCAACTGGCTGTGTGGCCTCAGCAGCTCAGTCCCATCTCTGTGGCTCCTTTGTGGACTCAGGAAGCCTGACTAGAATGCTCCTAAAGGTGCCCTTGCTGGTGGTCAGATCTTAGGAACGCCTTCAGACTGTGGGTCACAGAGGGCACTTGGAAAGAGGATCTGGTCCTGCTTCCCCTGTCAAACAGGCGAGCACCTAACTGCTGAGGACCAATGCCGGTCAACACTCACATCCGCAAAGCTGTCTGAACCTTCTAGCTTCTGAGTGCTGATTAAATTGGAATATTCACCCACAGTATTTTTATATTCCAAACAACAAAGGGTGTAGGGGCAGGGGGTGGTGGCTCACGCCTGTCATCCTAGCATTTTGGGAGGCTGAAGCAGGAGGGTCACTTGAGCCCAGGAGTTCAAGACCAGCCTGGGCAACATGGAGAAATCCCATCTCTACAAAGAATACAAAAAAAATTAGCCAGGCGTGGTGGCATGGACCTGTAGTCCCAGCTACTTGGGAGGCTGAGGTGGGAGGATCACCTGAGCCCAGCAGGTTGAGGCTGTCGTGAGCTGAGACTGCACCACTGTACTCCAGTCTGGGTGACAGATTGATACCCTGTCTCAAAAAAAAAAAAAAAAAAAAAAAAGATGTTGGGAGGTCTGTGGCCTCTCCTGGCTCTCAATCTTAAGTGGTACCAGTTACGAAAAGCAAATAGTCTTGAGAAATAGGAACATTCTAAACCATCAGGGATAACCCCCACACATCCACAAACTCACCTCACTGGGGATCGGGCTCAGACACCAAGAGGCCTTACTAGAAACAGGCAATAGAGCCTTAGCTGACAAGAAAACCCAATTTCTATTTCCCAGCTGTTCTCCCCAGTTTTGAGCCCCTGGATGTTCAGAGAGCCGCACAAAGAGAAAGTTCTCTCTGCAGCCTGTAAGGTCGTGACAGTTAGTGGGAACGTGGCCTACCTGCCATCTCCTTTTCAAAAAAGGGCTGAATGAGCTCGCCAAACGTGGTCCTGTCTGCCATAGCCTCTTTCAGCAGTTGCCCACAGCAGACTGAAGGAGAGAGGAACAGAAAGGCACCCATTAAATTTTAAATAGGAGGAAGGATGAGAAAAAAAGAACCCCCAGTGCTGCCTGCTGGGGGGGAAAAAAAAAGGTCACTGAAAAAAGCATAAAAGGGTTTTTCTGTGTGTGGGTATGTGTCCAAGTAAAAGTAAATATCAAAAAGGAGCCGGGAAATAAAGAAGAGGGAGAGGTGGAATGAAAAGGAATGCATTTGGCAAAGAACACATTAAAAATGGACGGCGCGGGGAAGACACTAACGAGGATGTTGCCCACAGAGGAGCCCTGCAGGGCCTTGCTGCACCTGGAATTGCTGTGCAGAACTCGGCGCCCTCCAGGTCGCTGCGGAAGATCAGCGTTCCGGTGGAGGGCTGCTCGTCTCTGAGCAATGTGCCTCAAGTGCGTCCACATTCGCACCATTGTTACATGGAGAAGGGATGCGGCACGTTGCTTCCATAGCCCTTCCAGCTGGCAGGTCATCTCCACGGGATGGTAGGGCCACATAACAGGATAGATTCATATTTCAAGTGGGCTGACTCATCATTAAAAGGCACCACGTGGCGGTAATCCCAGCACTTTGGCTGAGGTGGGCGATCACTCAAGATAAGGAGTTCAAGACCAGCCTGGCCAACATGGTGAAAACCTGTCTCTATCAAAAATATAAAAATTAGCTGGGTGTGGTGGTATATACCTGTAATCCCAGCTACTCGGGAGGCTGAGGCAGGAGAATCGCTTGAACCTGGGAGGCGGCGGTTGCAGCCAGCCAAGATCACGCCACTGCACTCCAGCCTGGGCGACAGAGCAAGACTCCGTCTCAAAAAAAAAAAAAGGTACCATGCTGGAGTCACCTGGCCAGTGGCAGCTGCCCCCTTCTGGATACCTGCTCGCCCTGGGCAGGAGCCTCCCTCTGGCCCCACTTTCTCGAGCCCTGAGCCAGGGCTGGCACATAGGAGGTGCTGGGCAACAAGCATGAGTGAATAAACACAGGCGACTCCTCCTTGGCCGTGAAAGCCCTTCCTAGCCAAAGCCAGAAGATTTAAGCTATATTTTCATGAATTGTTCATTGCACACTTTTGGCTTTCTTACCTTTAGGGCTAAGAAGTTTTCTGCCTATACTAAAGAGACCAAAAAAACATCCTACAGTTAACTGGATAGCATGAATGTTTAACAAAATTATCGTCACCAAGGATTCATTCCTCAATAATGATATGCATTCTGACAACCAAAGTGAGAGAACTTGCTGAACACCCCAGACATTCAGCTGAGATTCCAGAAAGGGCAGACCTTAGCTGCAGGGATACTCTAGCCCTAGACTAAGAACACTCTAGTCCCACTTAACAAAGCCTAAAAATAAGCTTCAATGGGATGGAGTTAATCCTCCAAACTCAATACTCTTAAAGCAGAATGATGACACAATCCAGACCGTCAAAAATATCAGAAACACAATGTCTAGCATTTAATTGAAAGCTCCTTGACATGCAAAAAAGCAGGAAAATGTTTTCTCTCCTATGAGGAGAGAAAACAGGCCATAGAATCAGATCAGGGGATGACACAGATGTCAGAATCAGCACACCAGGACTTTAAAACAGCTATTATGAGTGCATTTAAAACCTTAAAGGAAAAGATAGTTAAAATGAGTGAACAGATGGAGAATCTCAGCAGAGAAATGAAAACTGTGAAAAAGAACCAGATGGAAATTCTGGAACTGGAAAATACAGTATCTTAAATGAAACAAATCACTAGGTGTGCCGCAATCAGTGAATTTCAAGACAGGAAAAGAAGCAACAGGAAGTAGCCAAACTGCAGCAAATAGGGGGATGGGAAAGGACTGGAAGAAAAGAACCAAATCTAAGAGACCTGGAGGACAATACCATACAGTCTAACATATGTGTGGAGTTCCAGAAAGAAGAGAGACAGGCAGAAAAAAGATTTCAGAAGATAATGACAGGAGAATTTCAAAATTTCATTAAAAATTTCAACCCACACATCCAAGAATCTCTGAGATCCAAGCAGAACAAACACAAAGTAAGTCACACTTTGATACATCATAGTCAAATTGCTGAAAGCTAAAGAGAAAATATTAACAGCAGCTGGAGGCAGGGGGGGTGCTTAATATGTAGGGCAACAATGGTAAAAATAACCTCTGAGATCTCATCAGAAGAAGTGCAAGCCAGAAGACAATAGAATGACATCTTTAAAGTGTTAAGAGAAAGAAACTGTCAACGTAGATTTCTATATGCAGCCAAAACATCCTTCAAAAATGAAGATGAAATCATGTCATTTTCAGGCATATGAAAGCTGAGAAAATTTGTCACCAGCACACTTTCACTACAAGAGATGTTAAAGGAAGTTCTTCAGGCTGAGAGAAAATGATACCAGAAGGAAACTTGGATCTAAACCAAGGAGTGAAGAGTATTGATAGGTGGGTACATATAAAAGTCTTTCCCCCTTTATATCTTCACTTTTTTAAAAGATGAATGACTATTTAAAACAAAAATAATTACAATATATTGTAGGGTTTATAACATACACACAAGTAAAATGTATGTCAACTGTAAAGAAGTAAGGTAAATGGAAAAATCTACTGCTGCCGGTCTCTGATACCATACGTATTGAGGTGTAATATTCACTCAGAATAGGCTGTGACAAGCAAAAGATGAATATTTAATCCCTAGCAACCACTAACAAAATAAAGCAAAGAGATATGGCTAAAAAGGAAAGAAAGAAAATGAATTACTAAAAAATATTTGGTTAATCCAAAAGATGGCAGGAAAGGAGGAACAAAGAACAGATGACACAAGTAGAAAACAAACAAACAAAAACAGGCCAGGCATGGTGGCTCATGCCTGTAACTTCAGTGGGAGGCCAAGGCAGGAGGTTCACTTGAGCCCAAGAGTTTGAGGGTGCGATGACCTATGATTGCACCACTGCACTCCAGCCAGGGCAACAGAGCAAGACTCCGTCTCTTAAAAAAAAAAAGTGAGACCCAACTGTATGCTGCCTACAAGACACATATTTAGACTATAAGACACAGATAGTTTAAAAGAAAAAGAATAGAAGGTATATCATACAGACACGAAACATAAGAAAGTTAGAGAAACTTCATTAACATTAGACAAAGTAGACTTCAAGAAAATGAGTATTGCTAGAGAGGAAAAGCAACATTTCCTAGCAATGAAAGGGTCATTTCACCAATGAGATATAACGATCCTTATTGTATACAGTCAACCCTCCATATCCATAGTTTCTACACTCATGGAGTCCACCAACCACAGGTTGAAAATATTTGGGGTAAAAATTATGTCTGCACTGAACATGTAGTCTTTTTTCCTTGTCAATATTCCCTAAACAATACAGTATAACAACTGTTGCATAGCATTTACATTATATTAGGTATTATAAGTAATCTAGAGACGATTTAAAGTGTATAGCAGAATGTACATAGGTTATATGCAAATACTATGCCATTTTGTATCAGAGACTCGAACATCCTCGGATTTTGGTATCCAAGGAAGGTCCTGGAACCAATCTCCCATGGATACTGGGGTGTGACAGTATGCACTTAACAATAAATTACATGAAGCAAAAGCTTGCAGAGAATAGACAAATCCACAATTCAGAGTTGGGAGATTTTTGACATTTTGGGCTGGATGACTGTAAAAAATTAAAAATAAAAGAGTTGGGAGAGTTTAACACACCTCTCTCAATAACGGACATAATAAGTAGAGTGAGAATCATTAAGGACATAGAAGACTTAAACACTGTCAAACATCTTATCCTAATCAACATTATAGAACACTATATCCAACAATGCAGAATACCTACTTTTTAAGTACACTTGGAATTCACCAGTATAGACAATATATGCATATTTCAAAGGATCAAAATCACATAGGGTATGTTCTTTTACCACAATAGAATTAAATTAGAAATCAAGAATATAAAGCAATCAGGAAAATCCCCAAATATGTGGGAATTAAGCAAGGTGCATTCTAAATAGTACACGAGTCAAAAAGGAAACCAGAGGCCTAGGTGGGAGGACTGCTTCAGGCCAAGAATTTGAGACTAGACTGGGCAACATAGAGAGATCCCATCTTTACAAAAATAAAAAATTAGCTGAGCATGGTGGCATATACCTGTCGTCCCAGCTACTTGGGAGGCTGACGTGGGAGGATCACTTGAGGAGCTGGAGGCTGCAGTGAGCCATGATTACGCCACTGCATTCCAGCCAGGGTGACAGAGCAAGACCCGAAAAAAAAAAAGAAGAAAGAAAGAAAAACAAGGAAGGGAGGGAGGGAGGAAGGAAGGAAGGAAGGAAGGAAGGAAGGAAGGAAGGAAGGAAGGAGTTCATGCTCACTGTAAAAAAAAAATCTGAATTGTATAATACACAGCTCTGCCGAGATAAGTAGTTTGGTGTATGGATATTTCTTTAGGTTTTTTTCTGAGCATAAACTAACATGCTTTTTTAAACAAAAATGAGCTCACCCCCTGGATACTGCTGAGAAAATTGTTTTCTGCCCCTCTCTTACTTAGCCACGTATCACCGACATCAAATCACTTTACAGGTTTATTTTTAACAGCTGCCTCGCAATCCATTACATGGGTTTATCACAACTTATTTCACTAACCTGCAACTCTTATTAACAGAGTTGGAGGTTGCCTGTGTTTCTCATTATGCTTCTGCCACATCTCTCGCTGCATATCTGAGTGCTGGCGCAGAATAAACTCCTAGGAGTTAAATCCCAGGTCACAGGGTTTGCGCAGTTAGTGCCTTAACCAACAGTGGCTCTTGCCTTTCAGAAAGTTGTGTCCATATATAATCCCACCATCCTAAGTGGGGTCTTCTGATGAACTCTGTGGCAGTGAGTGTGGGGCTGTTTGTCTGTTTTCGTTGGTTTGGAGACGTTCTCCTATGGCTGAGAGAGTCACACATGTGAAGTTTAGAAGCAGGCCAGCGGATGGCCGTAGTGGAGCAGGCAGCACCCAGAGCTCTGGGTTCAGACAGGCATTTGCAGAGAGATCTCAAGGCTACCGCTTCCTGCCTTACGTCCCTTAAATGGGTTTGCTTAAGTATCATGATGTCTTGTGTTTATCAAGAACCCCTTGATAAATGGGAACTTCCTGAGGCAGTCTCCAAATGCTTAATTATCTAAACAAGCCCCATCATGGCTCTTAGGTAACAAGGAAAAACCATGATAAACCTTCCTATTTTCATTTTTGGAAAAATCTAGGCAGATAATTTCATCTCTTCATAATTGGTGTGCTGAATGCAATTTAAATTAAAAAACAAAAAAAAAACCCTTTTCTTGAATGAGAGTGTCTGCATCATGAAACAGAGCACCGAGACAATTATTTCCATAAAGCTCTGCACTGCATTACAGTATCTCTGTTGTGTGTTCAGACCCTCCCACCACCGCCAGTGCCCCTCTGCGCTCACTCTGTCCCTTCCCGTAACGATGTGTGCACGCACGTAAGCAAGTGGTGCTGCCACAGGTAGACTGCGGGTCATTGGAACAAAGAAGCCATCCCTAACACTGCTGGAAATTTTGTCTTATAACAAGAGACACAATCAAAAGGAGAAGGAATTATTGAAATTCATTTTTAAAGATGAACTCGAGGAAAAGCATTTTTTTCCTAAATGTCCTGGTTAATTTTCCACAGTAACCAAATTTGCAGAATAATTGTTCAGGTCTGTATCTTCATTTTAGGGGTGTGACTTTTGTCATGGATTCCTTGCTAGTCTCAGTGGCTTTAGAACTGTAAGCTGGAGGAGGCCTAATTGAGAAGCATTTTTATTCAAAGCTTGATCCTTCCGGGGAGGCATATACATATATTTGTATGTATATACATGTACAAACATTTGTATGTATATGTGTATATACATACACAAATATATGTATATACATGTATAAACATTTGTACGTATATTTGTGTGTGTCTATATATTTGGTTGTATTCCCTCTCTACATTCATATGGTATACCTGTATAATTTGGGGGGTTGTATGCATATATTTGGGGGTGCAGGTCTCATGTTCCCTTAGAAAATACAGTAGAGGTTATTCAGGCTTGTGGAGCATGGTGTGCGTGGGGGCAGCGCTTTTAACTCCCTTCAACCTGGCAGTGTGTCTCTGCTACAGTTTCTTCCTCATTCCCATCCCTTTATCCTCCTGAACACAAGCTGGCATCCAAGACCGCCTGGGACCACACCGGGAAAGACCTGGAGAGCTGATTTCAATATTTTCTCTCCTCCTGGTAAAATATTTATTGAAACTGTGCAGAGCGAGAAGTCTTCCTCTGGTTCAGAAATTGTTTGCCGGTAAACACACTGACCTGGGTTGGGGGCGCCAAACGAGACGGGAGAAAATAAACAAACAGCACATTCCTATTATGCAGGAGCCGAGGCTTCAGGGGAGATGGCAGGGGCAAGATGGGAGCCACCCCTGGCGTACGGCACAGACAAACCCCCCGCTCCAAAGGATATAAAAAATGATGACTGAAAAATGTTCTGTCTCTTTGGGCTGTGGGCATGTTTTTAGTGGTTAATGTTTTTACGGCAATATTCTTCGGGAGGAAAAATATCTATTCCTGCAAAGATGGACTAACAGAAAATTGTTAAGAACAAAGAGCCAGAAAAAGAAGTGATACTGACCCTTCTCCCCCACACCACCCCAGATACAATGAGAGAGCTGGGGAGGAGGGGCAGGAGGCAGGGAAAGGCGCTCCAAGCTGGGCAGCCCAGCGCCTGGGGCACTCACCATTGACAAGCCTGTATTTCTGGGCCAGGAGGGCGGCCTGCAGACTTTTCCCACTGCCCACAGGCCCGAGCAGCAGCACCCTTGGAGTGAACGGGGCATTAGTACGATGGTTGCTTTGGACATAGGTCAGAGCTGGAAAGAAAGGATATGAGGATAATAAACCTAGGTCCTAGAGAACAGGAAAGCAGCTTGCAGCCCCTCTGCTTTGACTCTTTTAACGGCAGTAACTATTTTTCTCTTCACAGCACCGTGGAAGCCCTCTGTGCATCGGGCGAAGAGGCAGGGAAAAGAATTAGGTGGCAGGCCTGGGCACCAAGAGGGAGCAAGTAGTGAAGTCCACAGAAGCCACCCTCGAGCGCTGCCCTGGAATTCCTCTCAACACAGGCGTCTAAACATGTGCAGGTGTCTGCATTTCCTTCCAGGCTGAAGGAAGGATTCCTAGGGCTGGCTGTGTTGCAGCTGGGAGGCTGGTCCCAGGACATGAAAGCACTCTCTACAGGGCTGGTGGCTTTTCCTACTGATTCGGGCTGAGCCTCCCAACCGGAAGCCCCAGGACTAGGCTGGTCTTCTAGAATTGCACGCTGGCTTTCTGCTAGGTGCACCTGAATGTCAGACACAGGCTTTGATAAACGCATCCGGCCCCATAGGGGCCCAGTGCCCAGGGACTTTTAAAGGACTCGAATTAGTGGAGAGTAATTTGTGCAGCTGCACTCTGGCGACACCAACTTTGTTGCGACTCTCCAAAGAGGTAGTGATCAAATAGGTCACAAGAGTGGCCAGATGTAGCTGCACAGCCTTGGCCTGTGGTGTGCCCCTGGCATTTGGTGAACAAAGAAGTGAGGAGATGGGGTGAGTGTCTCCAACAATGAGGCCACCTGCACCATGGGGGACACTGGATGCCAAGAAGCCACAGGAAAAACATCAAACCAGTTGCCTCCTGCCGGAGCTCAGAAGCGGGGAGCCGCGAGAAAAAGCTGATGGGGTTGTAAAGGGCAGCATTTCGGGCACCTTGAGGCAGGGCAGATGCCCACAGATGAGGCACGGACCTGTGCCAGCCCCCAAGCCAGGCTTCAAAACAGGGTATCCTTCCCCAGACAGACCTTCCCCCTCCTTCCAAGGCCCCAGACTGTCCGATGCAAAGTCAGCCATGGGTGGCCCCGTTACACCTTCCTGCCGGTCTGCCTTTGCCAATGTGCCTTGCAGTGGATTCTGTGCTGGTTGAGGGGCCAGGCCATCATGCTTCCTTCAGGAACATGCCACCCAAGAACCAGGTAGATTCCTCATCCTCAGCACTACCGACATTTGGGGCCAGAAGATTCTTTGTTGGGGGGCTGTTCTGGGCACTGTAGGATGTTGAGAAGCATCCCTGGCCTCTACCCGCTGGGTGCCAGTAACACAACTGCAAGGTATGACAACCAAAAAACCTTTACGGACATTGCCAAATGTCCCCGGGGTTGTGGCGGGGGCAAAACTGCCCCCGATTGTGAACCGCTGGGATATGTTCATTGTGAAAACCCTGACCTCTCAAATCTTTGCAGGACTTTTAAATTGGAAGGGTCATTAGAGAAGAACAGTCCCCTCTTTTTGGAAGGCACAGATGAGTTAGAATGGACTTTTTTCCAGGTTGTGATCAGCATCCTCGATGGCATGTACTAATTGCTACGACAAATACTCCACAGGCACCATCTCGTTTGTTTGACCCAACAATCCCGAGGGCTGCGTTATTCACGTCCCATTTTACAGATGAGCCAATCAGGCTGAGACTTGGCAGAGCTGGGGCAACTCTCCCAAACCTCCCGCCATGGGTACCATTCCTCCACTTGAGAGAAGCCCAAAGGAAGCTACTCAGGCGAGGCTCTCTTTCTTCTCAGACCTTCCATAATCCCGTGCATCTGAAAAGCACAAATACTACAGGCAAAGCAGCCTGCTTACAAATGATGCTTAATTTACAGTAAATAACTAAGTTAATTAGAAGTAATGATCCCCCAGACAGTCTCAACATCTAATTATTCTTTTTAAAAATATGTGGTTGCTGGGTGCACTGCAGAGAGATTAAAAAAACAACACAGAGAGAATTTTGCATTCCAATTTTCAATTTATCTCTCTGCATTATTAATTAATAATAATTAATATTCAGACACTCACATTTTTATTTACAATTCCAGGCATGAATTCTTTATGAATGATCATATGAACTTTTAAATTTAATTGAGTAATTTGGAAGTAATTAATGTGTAAATTCAGAATCATGGCATAAGACAAATGTGGTAGTTTATCTTAAGAGTGCAGTGTTTGTTACTAAAGACCCTTCCGAGATGCAAAATCACTGGACAATTATAAGCCCTCATAAGCCTGGCATTTCTTCTTTAAGTAGCGACACTTTCTACTAACCCACCCGTTGGCTGACTGCCCCCTTCAGAGGGCGAGGCTGTTCAACCCACGCCGGCAAACATCGCATCTCTGAGCTCAGTGTAGCAATGAGGTTTATGTACCGAGTCTACCAGCAGGAGAGGGTGCTGGGAGAGTCAGCAGGGAAGGGCTTGAGGGAGCTCAAAACCACCTCCCCAGTGAAACAGAACTCTTCTTGGAGAGATTTGAGAGAATATATGAAAAAAAGGACTTTGTAAACTGTCAAGTGTCTTAAATATCTGTGATGTTCCCTGCGTCGTAAACGCTTCATTTACCCGACACTGCATGGAAGGGGATAACTGGGCTTTCAGATGACTGAAGCTCAGCAAGACTTTTGAAAATGATAATACAGCTGTTCGGGGATAGAATTATTCCACCTTGCCCTTGCCTTTTTGGACAGGGTGTTGAACAATGAGAGGAGCTATGGCGTCTGATGTTTATTGAGGCCTTCCTCTGCACCAGAACTGGGCTTGTGGCTGTGGACACATGATTTGGAGAATCCCGTTTAATCCTCACCTACGCCTGGGAGGAGGGCACAAGTTTTGTTCCTATTTTAGGGATGCCAAAACTAGGGCTCCGAGGAGTTAGGAGAATTGCTGAAGGCTGCACAGCTGGGCTGCGTCGGGGCTGAGATTTGAACACGTTGCCCAGCTCAGCCATTCCCCGACCTGGCACAGGCCGCCTGCAGTGGTTCCTGAGCTGCTGGGAACATCAGCCATTGCTGTGGACAGCAAAGCAGTGCCAGGCGTGGGGCCATGTATCTCCATCCTAAATGAAGCATATTACCTGTGTTGTGTGTATGTGTGTGTGTTTTGTTGTGTTGTGTGTGGTGGTGGTGGTGGTTTTGTTTTTGTGTTAATCTTTATATATTTCTTCTTTCCTCTCCCTCAAGGTCAAGCTCAAACTTCTTGCTACCATGTCCCTCCCACCCCATTCCTCGCCTCTCCTCCTCCCAACCCCATCACCACCAAATCTGCTGTGGGCCAGAGATGTGACCACGTCTGAGTGTGGTGCATTAGCCCAGGGTCTCCAAGTGGGGTGCCCCCAGGGGCTCTGCACACATGCGTTTCTGGGCAGGGAACCTGGGTCATCTGTGACTTGACTCCCAGGGTCCCAGGCATGTCCCAGACACTGGCCACTACCAGAGTAAGGGACAAAGTGGTAGAGGGCACAGTGAGCCCAGCCCTTGGCCGCCTGTCCAGGGTGGGGCTGCCTGCTTGTGTTTACCCTGGTAGAAGACGTCCACACATGGCTGGTCAGCACTGATGACTTTGAGGATTTTGGGGTAGGAGGGAATGACCCTGACGATGTTCCTATGATACTCCAGCAGTTTCTGAGCCGTCTCCAGCTCTGAGATATCCTCTGGCACCATCAGACGGTTCTGGATTTCAGATTCGGGTGGCCAGTCAAAGGTGGTGTGATAAATCTCTGCAAGGAGAGAGGTGCGCAGTTAGAAATGGCCATGCAGGGGCCCTGTGGGCGCTGCTGTGCTGGCTGGGGTGCTTGCTGTCCTGGAGGCCAGGCCCTACAAATTCCTGGGGTGTGGCTGACCACGCGGCAGGACACCGTCATTCAACACCAGCGCTTCCAGCTACTCTGAGCCTGCTCTTAACTACTGTTCTTGTTATAATACAAGAACAGGGCCCAGGGCAAGGGCTGCTGTGAACTTCTGAGCACTTATTCTGTGCCAGGCACTCTTGACAGGCACCTACCTGCAGACTCCCATTTCATCCTCAGAGCCATCACATCACCCATTAGGTTGATATTTTCTTTTTTTTTTTTTGAGACAGAGTCTCGCTCTGTTGCCCAGGCTGGAGTGCAGTGGCCGGATCTCAGCTCACTGCAAGCTCCGCCTCCCGGGTTTACGCCATTCTCCTGCCTCAGCCTCCCGAGTAGCTGGGACTACAGGCGCCCGCCACCTTGCCCGGCTAGTTTTTTGTATTTTTTAGCAGAGACAGGGTTTCACCGTGTTAGCCAGGATGGTCTCGATCTCCTGACCTCGTGATCCACCCATCTCGGCCTCCCAAAGTGCTGGGATTACAGGCTTGAGCCACCGCGCCCTGCCCTAGGTTGGTATTTTCATCCCCATGTACAGATAAGAAAACTGAACCTCAGGTATCCCATGTCTACAGCCAGAAAGGGGCAGAGCTAGGGATCCACAAACCCAGGTCTATCTGCCACCATAGCCTGAGGCCCAGACCATCAAGGGCAGTCCCGCCTCCCCCCATCTTCCCGCCAGCCCCTTGCTGAACTGCCTGGTCTTCAAGGCCCAGTTCAAGGGCCCTGTCCCCTGCAGCACCTGCCAATTCTCCCAGGTAATGCTCATGCCTCTCTCTTCTGTACGCATACCAAAGAACAAGGGGTGTTAGGGAGTACATAATTTGTCCCGAGGAAAGGCAGACACGTCCCCTGGCTCCTGTGTGGGCCCCAAGCCCAGGTGCCCCGCATGACCCCCTACACTGTACTCTGGTTCTGCCACAAGAAAGTCTCCTCCTTTAACCTAAACGGGCCTCCCTTTCCTCATCTACCAGAATGTACCCCTGCCAGTGTCTTCCAGCTCAGAGCCCAGCCTGTGGCAGCCTTCCTTGTGTCCCTCTGTGGGTGCCCAGAGCAGAATGCGAGCTCGGGAAATGGTAGGCGGGCTGTCACCACCAGGGTCTCTGAAACCCCATGGGGCTGGGTGGGAGTGGCCATAGCCATACCTCCAGTTTGAGGGTCGATTCTCTTCCCCAGGTTTCTCTCGATCAGGACTGTGTCTGGAGCACTCAGTACGACTGGATGAAAAGGAAGAAAAGGAGCAAAAGCAGGCATGTCAGGAAGTGGGTGCCACACATATGAATAGCACGGACCAATATTTGCTTTAGGTTTTTTGTTTTTCTGTATAATGACGTTAAAACAACAATCATCTCCCATCCCCATGAATTCCTAAGAGAAAGGTCTTCTCACACCCAAACACAAAGAGCGTAACATCGGGACAGAGCAAGGCCCATGACTGAAAGTTTTGCCTGTTAGCAATTTCCCTCATCACAGATAACGCTATGATGGGCATCTCTGCATGCACTGAACGCCTGCATAGCATTCTAGCTGATTTCCTTCCTGGGACAAAGAATCACCAGGCTGAAGGCAAAACCCCACTTTTCTTAAGAACCAGCCGTGAATATAGTTAGCTCTGAAAAATTCAGCTGTGCTGTCCTCTTCCTTGCTGGGTCTCGGACAGTGCCTGGGCTGAGGTTGGGAGCAGGCGGCATGAGCGGGGCGTTCACTGGCCACCCCTTGGGGCTGCAGCTCTGGCAGGTGGGGGACCCTTGGGAGCTACTCACTGACGTGTCTGGGGGTGATCCCCAGGGTCTGGATCCTCAGGGCCTGCTCACGCGTCTCGGGGATGCCATCCAGAATCCAGCCCTAGACAGAGGATTCAGAGAGGTGCTCATCTGTTTTGACTTTTAGATTTTTTAGAATTATTTTAAAAGGAACATAATAGCTTTATAGAAAGACTAGAACTTTTAAGACAAAAAAATACATAAATGTTTCTGATAGCTACTTCACCCTTTAAAAACTACTTTGTGGCCAGGCGTGGTGGCTCACGCCTGTAATCCCACCACTTTGGGAGGCTGAGGTGGGCGGATCACGAGGTCAGGAGATTGAGACCATCCTGGCTAACACGATGAAACCCCGTCTCTACTAAAAATACAAAAAATTAGCCGGGCGTGGTGGCGGGTGCCTGTAGTCCCAGCTACTCAGGAGGCTGAGCCAGGAGAATGGCGCGAACCCAGGAGGTAGAGCTTGCAGTGAGCCGAGATCGCGCCACTGCACTCTGGCCTCGGCGACAGAGCAAGACTCTGTCTTAAAAACCACAACAAAAACAACAAAACAAACAAACAAAAAACCCTACTTTGTAATATATTATTATATTCCCTTCTGAAGCATATGTTGGTGACTATCATTATAACATATATATTTTACATCTTGATTTTTTTTTTTTTTTTTGATACGGAGTTTCACTCTTGTTGCCCAAGCTGGAGTGCAATGGCATGATCTCAGCTCACTTCAACCTCCGCCTCCCAGGTTCAAGCAATTCTCCTGCCTCAGCCTCCCAAGTAGCTGGGATTACAGGCGTGTGCCATCACGCCCGGCTAATTTTTTGTATTTTTCGTAGAAACGGAGTTTCACCATGTTAGCCAGGCTGGTCTCAAACTCTTGACTTCAGGTGATCTGCCTGCCTTGGCCTCCCAAAGTGCTGGGATTACAAGCGTGAGCCACCACGCCCGGTCTACGTCTTGAGTTTTTCTACCACACAATAGCAACCACAAGCATCTCTTCACATCTGCACGGCTCCTCATTGTCCCCATTATCAACGGCTGTGCAATGTCCCACCAAGAGAATGTACACAGCAACTTAACTACGCCCACGAATGAACATTTCAACTGCGAGCAGTGTTCACTATCATAAATAATACCTCGACGAACATCTTTGTGCATCTAGCGCTTTCCACATTTTGGATAATTTCCTAAAGAGAGTTTCGGAGAGATTCCTGAGACCAGGATGAAAACCCTGCTTTTGTTTTTATTTTCTGCCTCGTATATCTGCAGTAACACCCACTTTTCTTAAAAACAAACCCTGGACGATGATTCCGGTTTCTGCTCTGCAGTTACCTTCTTAAAGGACTGAAATTCCTCACTCATCAGCCCCCTCTTGGTACAGCTAGGGAACTGGTTTACAGGTTTATTTTTACTATCTATTTATAGAGATGGAGTCTTGCTACATTGCCTAGGCTGGTCTTGAACTCCTGGGCTCGAGCAATGCTCCTGCCTCAGCCTCCCAAAGTGCTCGCGTTACTGGCGTGAGCCACTGTGCCCGGCCTTTACTAACTCTTTAAATCCAATTGTGAAAGTAATATACAATCATTGCACACTGTGTGGAAAATACTGAAAAGCTGAAATAATAAGTCACTGGTAACACCTGAGACCCAAACAAGCCACTGTCAACATTCTGGTGTATCTCCTTCCAAGCAGCAAGTGCAGATACCTTTGTTCCTGGCGGCTGGGGGTTGTGGGGAGGGGAATCACACCATACATACTATTTGGTAATCTGTTACTTTCTAGCAAAAACATTTCATGAAATGTTTTCCCATGTCACAAAGTGCTCCCTGCACAGAAGTTTTCACAGCTGCCTGGTATTGCATGAACTGACCGGATGGTAACTGATCTCATATTGTTGCTCATATTGTTCAGTTTGATTCCAGTTTTCCACCATTATAAACAATGTTATATATGCATCTGGATGCCTAGCAAACATCCTCAGATAAATTTCTAAAAGTTGACACCTTCTTTTATGACTTTTGATACATTTTGCCACATTGCTGTACAAAATGACCCACCAGTTTATGAATCCAACGGCAAAGCATCTGTTTCCTTGCATCTCTGCCAAAGTTGGGCATTATCTAGGGGAAAAATATCTGTCCAGCAAAATACAGTATACCACTGCTGCTTTAATTTACATTTCTTTGATCATTAATGAGGTTCAGTATTTTTTCCATATGTTTATTAGCTGTTTGGATTTTTTTTCTTTTCCAAAATGTCTATTCGTGTCATCTATCTGTTTTCCCCTGGGGGTTTCATCCTTTTATTTATTGACAAGAGCTCTTTACATATTAAGAACGTTACCCCATTTTGGATTTTGGCAAACACTACCACAAACCCTTTAAGGCAAACTATGTTGCCAACATTTTCAGCAATTTGTCTTGCAGCCTTTTCATTTTGTGTGTGGTGTCGCTTTTAACACACCACTTTGTGGCCAAATCAATCGCTGCTTTCCTCTTTAGATTCTGGCATTGTGTGGATGCATAAAAACACCCCCCCACCCCGCAAAAGCTGATACATATTCACTTGCCTTTAAATTGTATTCTTGTGTTTTTACTCTTTACATGTAAATAGTAATGATCCGTGTAATAGGGCCGCATTTCAGTTTGCGAATGATATGCGGCTGTGATGTAATCTGTTTCCTTGTGGCTCACCACCTGTTCCAAACTCACCCCCAATACAGCCCATCTTTTCCCCTCTGAGGACACTTTTATCAGAGTCTAAATGCTGATAACGACATTGGCTCTGGCCTCTTTCTGCCTGTAGATCGTTAAATTCTTTTTTTTTTTTTTTGAGACGGAGTCTTGCTCTGTCGCCCAGGCTAGAGTGCAGCGGCCGGATCTCAGCTCACTGCAAGCTCGGCCTCCCGGGTTTATGCCATTCTCCTGCCTCAGCCTCCCAAGTAGCTGGGACTACAGGCGCCTGCCACCTTGCCTGGCTAGTTTTTTGTATTTTTAGTAGAGATGGGGTTTCACCATGTTAGCCAGGATGGTCTAGATCTCCTGACCTCGTGATCTGCCTGTCTCAGCCTCCCAAAGTGCTAGGATTACAGGCTTGAGCCACTGCGCCCGGCCTGTTAAATTCTTTTTATTTAACTGTTTAAATTGTTGTTGTTTTATAAGTTCTCACAATGTCTAGTAAAATAAACTTTCCCTTCTTTTTTCTTTTTTTTCAAAACAAGATCTTTCAGGTAAACATTAAAAATATTTTGTCAAGTTCCCAAATAGAAATTCCACTAGGATTCTGGAGTAACATTAAATGTGTAGATCAATTAACGACAAACTGACATTTTTACACTATCAAGTCAACACATTATCGTCTCATTTGCTTAAGTTGCTTTTTTATGTCCCTCAGCAATGTTCACATTAAACAATTTCTAAAGTCCTTTCAAGTCCCATGAGTTTAGAGTTGGACACACACACACACACACACACACACACAGACAGTCTAATGCTTTAGACTTGATGTCCAGGTACATTAGTAAAGTGAGCTTTGGAAGAGACTGAAAGAAAGCAGTGAATTGCTTCAAGTCTCCATTTTGCAGGTAGTGGGGTCCGGCAACTGGGAGTCAAAACTGGGAGCCCCCACTTGCTGTAAAGCCCTCCCTCTCAGCCATTATGAGACTCAGTTGCTCTAAGGTCAGAGGATGGACTGACATGGACGGACTCAGCCTCTAGGTCACTCATATCCACACCACCTGATCGACAGACACAGTGTGGGCGATGGTAGGAGATGTCTTCCTTTACAAACAAACCAAAAGGTGGTCTGGGTGCAGTGGCTCACGCCTGAAATCCCAGCACTTTAGGAAGCCAAGGCAGGAGGATTGCTTGAGGCCAGGAATTTCAAACCAGCCTGGGCAACAACATAGTGAGACCCCCACTCTACCAAAAAAGATTTTTAAAAATTAGCCAGGCGTGTTGGCACACACCTATAGTCCCAGCTACTTGGGAGGCTGAGGCAGAAAGATCCCCTTAGCCCAGGAATTTGAGGCTGCAGTGAGCTATAATCATGCCATTGCACTCCAGCCTGGGTGACAGAGTGAGACCTTGTCTCTGGGAAAAAAAAAAAAAAAAAGCCTGCCTTTCTTCAATATTAAAATATTTAGGTTCCAGTAGCCTCTACTGACAGTTAAAAAAAAAAAAAAGCTAAACAAATTTGCAGCCTAAAGACTGTCGGAAAAATCCAGCAAGCTTTCATTAATTTCTTGAATTATACAGGAAGACTCACAGCCACGGAACCCCTGGTTTCTAGAACTAATGAAGCAAAAGTGCAAAAAAAAAATTTTAACAGCGTTTTGCTCCCTCAAGTCCTTGTTATAGCCAGCCAAGCGCCGGGCTGCAGCTCCTGGAAAGAGCAAATATCTACAGACAACAACAGAACCAGGAGACGGAGCGTCTGAGAGCTCACTCGCAGTTCTGGAAGCCGAACCAACATTTTCTGAACTTTAGCTAAATTCATACCCCCTTATTTTTCCTTTATTTGGACGGGAAGGAATTGGGAGCCCATTGATTGCTGCTGCTAGTACAAGGGCTGGTAATTCTGTTTTGAGTCCCTTTTTGAAGCTGGAAGGTTGGAACTCCGTCTTTGCTCGGCACTGAGAAAGGCCTCTGCTTTTAATATTGCATTACTGAGCAATCATTATAATCTCGCCCACAAATTTGCAGCAGGTATCAGTATGTGGTCCAAAGCTTTTAGAACTATTCAGGGGAACAGCTCTCACTGACTTTTCACTGGAGAAAGCGGGACTTCCAATTACACAGGAAAAGTGCAGCAAAATGAGGAACATCTCCCTAATTAGCCTGGCCTCACTGGAGTGTCATTCTGGTGCAGACGTGAAAATCTAAAAGGAAGAAGGTGGGGGGCTCTGGAGTGAGCCCTAGGCCACCAGCTCTCCAGGTCTGCTCTTTCTGAGTTGGGGAAATGGTACGATCACCTGGGGACTAAGAAACAAGGTCCCCGAGGAATCCCTCGAGCAGCACCCAGGCCCCATTAGAGCCGCCCCCCACCGTATGGAGAAGGCAGCTGTGGAGGCTCTTCCTCCCT